TAACAAGCACTCACATATATGTACTTGCGTCCCACGCTAATGTTGATGGAATGCACCATTCTTGTCCAACAAGCATACATACTATGTGCAATTCTTTTATGGATTATTCGATATCCCATCTCGAAACATCCATCGAATTGGAACTTTATTTAAGATCACTGCTTTCAAGGTATGTTCCATGATCACCATCTCTATGCGCAACCATACCTTATAACATATGTGATCTAGGGATTTTATCTTAAGTGCAATTATATGATAAATGCTTACTCTTAAGATAAAGTAATGCCTTTTAATTAATATAATTCCAATAGATTGTATTTACAAGTAGAATACGTCCAATCAGATTGGAACGCCGGGTATACTACTCTAACAATGGAAGTGTTGCATAATCTGTTCGCGTAACTGCCCACTGTTGGGGACATAGACTCGACCTCGGTGTAGAAGTAGACCATTATGCAACTCGTAGTCGATAGCAGTTGTTTTTCCTGCTTCTATCGATTGGCGCAGTTCCTGACAATGGGTATCCTCTACTTGCGCCTTCCTGATCTCTTCCCAAATGGCCCAAGTAGGCCCAGTGATCGCACTCAACTCGGCCACATCTGTCCGTCGGGATAGTGCGTCGACTACCATGTTCTGTCGACCTGGTCGATAGATTATCTCGAAGTCAAACCCCATAAGTTTAGACACGAACTTCTGCTGCTCGGGGGTAACAATCCTTTGCTCCAATAGGTGCTTGAGCGGTTGTTGGTCAGTAACAATTTGAAAACGTCGACCTAACAGATAAAGTCTCCAGCATCTTACAGCCTCAACAACTGCTAGCATCTCTTTCACGTACACTGACAGACCCAATCGAGTAGTGCCCAGTGCCTTACTGAGATAAGCTAGGGGTCGCTCCTCTTGCACTAGTACAGCTCCAATTCCAATGTCTCTCGCGTCGGTGTGTACCTCGAACAAGACATCAAACCTGGGCATGGCGAGTATTGGCGTTGTAGTCATGGCTTCTTTCAATTTTCCAAACGCTTCCTCGCTAGCTTCGGTCCATGTGAACCCGCCTTTCTTAGTCATCTCTGTCAGTGGCTTGGCGATGGTTCCATAATCTTTCACGAACTTCCGGTAGTAGCCCGTGAGCCCTAGGAATCCTCTCAACTGCGTGAGACTAGTTGGTTTAGGCCAATCGACCATAGCCTCAATCTTTCGTGGGTCGACCTTCACGCCCTCGTGTGATATGAAGTGCCCCAAATATTCAACCATCATCTGCCCAAAAGAACATTTGGATGGCTTTATGTGGAACAAGTTGGCCTCCAGAATTTCGAGCACTACTCTCAAATGCTCAAGATGTTCGCCCCACGACTTCGAATAGATCAGGATATCATCAAAGAATACCAGAACGAACTTACGCAGATACTCCTCTAAGATAGAATTCATGGCGAACTGGAAAGTGGATGGGGCGTTGCATAACCCGAATGGCATGACAAGATACTCATAGTGTCCCTGGTGTGTACGAAAGGCTGTCTTGGGAATGTCGGCTTTGTGGAGTCGAATCTGATGGTAACCAGCTCTTAGATCGAGTTTAGAAAAATATCATGACCCGGCTAAGTCATCAAGCATGTCATCAACACTTGGAATAGGAAATCGGTCCTTGATGGTTGCAGCATTTAGAGCTCGGTAGTCAGTACAGAACCTCCACGTGCTGTCTTTCT